CCCCCCCCCCCTCCCCACCCTACTTCTCAGACGCGTTCCCCACTAATGACCGAATTAATCCCTTCAACGAACGGCTAAGGAGGATTAGAATGTGTGAAGGGTAAATAGCATGATGGGATGAGATAATTAGTCCGAGAAGTTAAATCCTGTAGTATCCACCTAATTAAGGCACTTGCTTTTGGGTGTGCATGCTTTTGTAGGCTATGATGGAATAAATAATAAGTCTGTATGTAGTTATCAGTTAATCTAAAATGATTGAACTAATATAGCTCTTCGGCATTTTAATTCAACACGGTTAAAGTGGCGTGGATCCATGCTTTCTCCCGGTTTAGTTCAGTTAACTTAATCAGGCATATTTCAACCGCACCCAGTGTGACAAATCAACGGCATTTTTCCAAGTGGTCACAGGCAGGCGTAACTATCCAACTTAATGAAATTAAGCCAGCAGACAGCGTGAAATTGATTATGGTGATAAGCGGCCAACACTATCAATGCAATCAAATGAGCGCTCTTATCTATTAAAAGAATTTCAGCTAGCTGCGTCCACCATCTGCTTGCATCTGCGAGAAGATAGAACTTAATCAGAAACGATCAACAGCGTACTCCACAGTTGAGCGCAAACTGTCATTCACAACTCCAGAGAACGGAGCGGAAAAGTTGCGATTTGAAATACTTAGAAAGTGGACAACGAGGTGCTCCTTGAATTCGAAGCACTACCTTTGCAATTCGCACTTCACATACCCTATTGAAACTCAGTTTTAGAGGGGAGTATATCTACTATGACGCACGTTCAGACACTATTTCATGAGTAAAAGTTGTCAATATTTACTAGCCTTGGAAATCATGATAAATATGCGTAAAATGCAGCTTCTCAACTAACAACGCTTACTTATTTTTTCAGTGTAATTATCCAATGAAAAGCAGCACCTGTACTACAAATGCCACTAAAGTTATAGTAGAATGGTGACACTATGTTCAAAAGAACATAAGTACAACGAAGGCATATTTATTCCATTGTCCAATCCGTTAAACCCTTCAGGTTGAATTAGATACACCATAGAAATGAACCTGTGGGATAGGCAAATTCTTGAAAGGTTTTGATTAAAAGCACCCCTTCCGAGTAGATGAAATCAAAGCATTAGTTACCGAACGCCGAAATCTACTTATAACTGCCAAGTATTTTAGCGCATTTACTAAAAGTATGCATGCAATCCAATGAAAAATCAATAGAATAGCTAATGATTTCCTTATAATTGATATTTCAATAGGTGCTTTAGGTTTCATAAATAATTATTTAATCCTAATAGTTCATAAAACTGTAGTAAATTTTTTCCCTTAAAAACTCCAATATATATATATATATAATTTCAAGCTGTTAATAAAGCGAAAGGCACTTTTACGTGAGAGTACAGGATTTTGGCTTTGATTAGCCAATCTAAAATGCATCAGATAAAACGATTCGCTAATGGATTGTGGCTTAATCATCTTCTAAATCAAGATCTGGTTCATCGAGAGTAAGCCACGATGTTGCTAAAGGTAACAATATCAAGTATAGTTTTTCCCACAATCTAGTTTTGGAAAATATGAAAAGTTTTGTCCAATAGGTACTTTGATAATATTATCATTGTCATTTGACCAAATAGATTCCATTAACCTCATTAACACAGAGAGTAATCAATAATGAATATCGAAAACTACTTCGTTTTCACTAAATTTCAATGCGGAGGTTGCAAAGAGCAACAAAACGTCCTCTATGACAACTTTTCAAGACATGACAGGAATAGGCACTCAATGAAATGATGCGTGGCTTTAGTAATATAACGGCAGTAATTTCTTTGCATTTTTTAAGTAATTGACCAATAAGATTTGAATTTTAATTCGCAATGGCGATGGTACAGAAGTGCTGCAATGTGGATGTGGAGATAAGAGAAAATGAAGAACAGTGGTTAGCATCCAAGGAACAGTTCATCCTGAATCCAATTGTCAAGAACTGCAGGTTTACTTAGAGCACAAACTTCAATTTCTCTTAATTTGCATTAAACTGACTTAGCTAATCCTCATTTCACTATGTTCCCCGTAGAAAAAACGATACCTTGTTTCTGCCCGGATTGAGTTTTAATAGTTCAAAATTGTCAATAAAAGGTTAGGTGCTTTTGACAGAGACAACCAACCAATCAATGGCAGCTAAAATTTTGTCAACCAATCAATAGACTCTAGGCACCACACACACAGCTCCGAAAAAATGGAACTTCTAGTCAGTAAAGAAAATTTGTGCAATCTGAGGAATTTCGAATTCAACTGAAAAAATGCAACAAGAATGAAGATGCACATTCTGTTTACTCGAAACATCTTCGTAGCTTTCTCTACCTTCGCCTCTGATTACAGAAAACATTATAAAGGCATTATGATTTCTTCTACTTTCTAGAAGCTTTGATGAGAAAGCTCGACGTGGAAGACATAAGAAGATCTCAAACTAAAAATCAACTCATTTGAATCATCTCGTGTTTTGTGAGAGCAGAAAATCGGATCGTTTGGCTAAAGACTTCGGAATATCAATTGAATGGAAATTGAACCGGAAAATCGAGTACAGAACCATGAAACTGGAGTATGCTTCAAGCAAATTATGAATTTGAACATCTCCACTTCGCAAATGCCCTGATATTCCATCCACTCTATCACCGCGCCCCCCCCCCCCCCCCCCCCACCCCACCTCAATGAAACGTTTTACGATTTCGTGTGTTCTCCTAAATAAAAGTAAACCATTTTTTCATATATTCTGGACAATGCAAATGCGTCATCAAAAAACTAAAATGAAATCTCCAGCAAAATGGGTTCCAATTTTGGTGCAAGCGCATGATATAAAAAGTTTGAAGGATGATTAATGTCGAGAAGATGGAGGACATTTGTAAGGAAGAGGGGGAACGTGTACGCGGAAACTGTAAGTCGCACAACTGGGTGAACTTTTTTAATTCGTTTCGAAGTGCAAGGGGTACAATAATACCGAAATCTGTGAAAATCACCAAAGTACGCTTCATACCCGCACAATAGAAATGTTATGTCTAAAAGAACTGTACTATGCTTCTATTCGTAAGAAATCTTAAGATAAGAAGAGAAACTTCGCGCGTCGAAGGTGCTAATGCACGCTACATTTCCTTTGCAAATCTAAGCCCCCCCCCCTTAACCCACATACTTGAAGACAATGTGAGCGGAATACTGAAGCCAAGAAGGCCCTTGAAGGCAGCTAACCTATACTATGATAGTGAGGCGACTAAAGCCTCTGCTCAGTGTTCCCTCAAGACACTGAAAACAATCCGACATGAACTGGAAGGCGCACGACAACAAATTAGCCTCTGCTCACAGAAAAAGGCCAACAAAAGAAACAGAGTTAAACAGCCAACTAAAGTACAAAATATCCAGTTCTTTTCCTCCAATAGCAAGGACACCGCACACAGATGGCCGTGTTTGCAACGTGTCATGCAGGCTCAATCTCTCACCCCCCCCCCCAAATCATTGCTTTAAGATGTGTGTCCCACTGAGGGGTGATGTAAAGCCCCTTCAGAATTTCTTGCAAAAGTGGCCTAGGTCATATTCCGATGCCTATTTGGAATTGCTGATCTGAAGGCCTGAATAATGAGGGTGGCGATATCAGGTTATGTGAATGGCGGAAGTAGGATTAGACACTTTGGTACATCACCAGGAAAAGTCCAAAATAGTTGCCAGCCCTTTTTCACGACTACACCAATCCCATGTTCGGCCTTTGAACTCTTCAAATCTTAACTCAATGGATCATTTTGTATGTATTGGGTGCTGCCAAGATAGACACTAATCGCATAAAAATTCAGACCTCTCCCAACGTAAAATCGGCCTGTCTGATTCCTGGGTAGTAACCGAAATGTGGCTGCGTTTAGAGTACAACTCTCGGCAGTGGTGCAATCTTCTAATTAATTCAGCTTATTTCAAATCTATTAAATAGTCTTTTCCTTGGTGAGATTGTCGAATTTTTACCGGTATTTTGAACGTCATCAAAAATCTCTATTTTTATTAAATACTTTCGTCAACTTATTTTTGAGATCGATTTATAGACATTAGGCTAACATTGTATACAGACCCGCATTAACTATTAATGAGAGTAACGCATGTCTATCCTGTCGGTTTCAAGACCCAAAAATTAATTTCACGCAAACAAACGTTTAGAAGATTGTCACGTCTCGAGAGTTGTGAAATTATGAAATTCAAGTGCATGTCTTATTTGAAATTCGGACCAATGCCCATGATAGCTTTAGACCAAACGGAGTGTAAGTTGCGAAGAAATCGCTCATTTCAGATTCAAGATGCCAACATTTCATGATCAGCTTCCATTTTCGTATTAAAAGCTACACACAAAAGAACCGAATTTCACTTAGAAATTAAATTCGACTCAGGAGTATAAATTAATATAAATTTTCCGAGTGGAATAATTTTGCCCCGAAATACGAAGAATAAACATTGCTGTTGTGTGATTGGATTTGAAGATTAGACAAATAAAAGTAATAGAAGGAATAAGGCCATACTCTACTTGGTTTAATGTAAATTAAATTAGAACAATTTGTAGAAATATTTCGACCAAATACTGAATAAATCAGCTTGTTAAAGCAATATTTGCATGTGAAAATGGAACATTCAGGAAAACGAGGAACGAAATGACACAAAAAGTTATCGATTATCGACTTTACTCACCCGGGATTGCCCAACATGGCGGCATGATGAAGGCAATTGTGGCCAAGGCTATTGGTTATCGCAAGGTCAGCTCGGTTGGCCAATAGGAGTTCGACCATGGCGAGGTTCTCACCCGAGACAGCATCGTGTAGTGGAGTATCACCGTCACAATCCTGAAATGGAGAGAAAAGTTGGAGTGTGTTTTTGTTATCTCGAAACTAAATGCTGCAAGGGAGATAATGCTGATAGTTGCTGGTATTTGATAGGAGCTGACTAAGTCGCGACTATTAAGAAGTTATCGCGATGTTAACGTTAATGAAGATACGAGGGGGAGGAAATTCTATTAATCTGGTTGCAGTGATGATGATGATGATGAGTTGTTCGAGATACATATCAGATAATGTAGTCCTAGTATTAAGTGGAACAACAGTTCGGATAATCGAATAATATTTATTACCCTATTCGTAATTAAATGATAAGAAAAGAACTCAATAATATGTCATTAGAGATCTTGGGGATCGCAAGTTTGTCTTTTATGAGTACAGGCGGTAAGGCAGCCTGAATCCCACCTTTAATTAGTTACCCATCTACGTATTTTCGGCCCAAAAGCAAACTTATACAAAGTGAAAGTGCAGCACATTGACATTTGCACAGAGGAGTGGGGAAGGGGGGGGGTTGATTGGCAATCTGTCAGTGATTGCAAGCCTATGGGTCAATTAGAAGCAAAATGCAAAAACGGCAGAAAAAAAGAGTGGAAGGGCAGGGATTTAATGGCTTCAGGGGTGAGGGCGAAAGACGGAGAATGAATAATTTAGTGGAAGGCGGCCGATGAAAGAAGGGAGGAAAAGACATCCAAAACCATGCAGAGAATCAAAATTTAACCTCAAGCAGTGCAGGCGAGTGAGTGAATGAGAAGTTAAATAAGAAATAAGGGATGCCTACTTATTTAAGTGAATCACAGCAATGTCAGAAAACATCTCGATGGTGTAGTTGATGGCTTGGCATTACAAATTGCATACTTTTTGAAATAATAAAGAAAGCGATCAAAATCGGTCAAACATTGACAAGTAAATGATAGCTTAATACATTAGGTGAGCCAATGAGAAACCGAGAACCTTGCAAAACAGATTTGTGAAATGAGGCTTTGGGCGGGTAATGGAAAAATCTCTACAGACAAATTGTCTAACATTGTTAATGGGAAATGAAGTTCATTTTGCCGTCAAGGTTACAATATTGATTCCGTAAGGAGAGAACACGTTAGACACTGTATTCTACTCTACTTTCATTATGATCAAGTGGAATGGAAGTTCGAGCGTTTATAGCTTGCAAATATCCATTTTGATTTGGGCGATTAATAGGGAAGCCTAAATGTCATCACTTCAAAACTCCCAACATAACAAAGGCAAGTGGAGAAACACGAGCATCCTTTGCTGTCTTAGCAACAAATAACTCGTGCTTTTTACATCAAATTGTTATTATGTGGGAGAAGTGGCTAGTTTATGACCACAACAATGGTTGCCACCAAATCCAGCATCTTATCCATCCCATAAACTAGGCCTGACTTCTTGTGTGCATTTGATGCGATTAACATGAAACAATACATTTCGAACCGGTAAAACCGGGCTCGACAGCAAATGAGAAAAAGGAAATCAGGAATCAAAAAATGAATGACCTCAAGATAAAGTCAGAATTAAATTGGAGGTTCTACTCCATCCTTCGAATTCGCCAGACCGCGATCCACTCTACAATTTCTAAATGCGATACAGGTCCAAAACCACTTGAACGCGAATCTTTAGCATAAACTTTCAAGACCATGAAGGATACTCTTAGAGAAGGAAAAAGAATATCGATGTGTAATTAAATTCAAAATAGCAAGGAGGAGCAAGAGCCAGGCAGCTTCTTAATGGCATAAACTAATTACCTCCTACATCTTTTGCTTGAAGTCCAAATGAAATTATTATATTCAAGCGATTGGGTAAAACGAGCTCAGTTAATGCATTTCAACCTTTGTGCGCAAATGGCACTTGCAGTATATTGATCATCTGCTTTCCCTATCATACACTTTACTCTAAGCTCTGTGCATGTGATTGTTTCCTATTTCATCAATCTCCTCTCATTCTTATTAATGCTTGGACCTTTAACATCCGAACTATTTTGGTTCGGAAACATGCACCGATCGCACTCACGCGTGTCACACAGCAGACTGATGCCGCCGAAGTGATGAGTTTTGGTGGTGTATCAGGCGAAGGCTACAGAGACGTATTGAACATGTTCCAAACAGCAAAAACGCCTTCTGTTACGAGTCTTATATCAAGGGAGCCTATTTTGAAAATGTGCGTTAAGAGCTAAAATGGCCTTTATGAACATTTTAAGTTGTGAAATGTGATTTAGCATAATATTATAAAGTTCTACCTGCTACGAAACTGATGGGATTTAGTATATCTGTGCAATTCTGAAAATGAAATGGCCAGCCGCTCAATATTCTTAGAATAAATGAAGGGTTGGGGTGGCGAATGCAACTTTTCTGACCAGGGTGGCACTTGCTCGGCTTGGGGTGATGCTTTGAAATGGGAGATATGCATTCCATAAGTGGCATATATGTTCACCTGCCAGTTAATACCACCCTTGATATTTTAACTGTTAGTCTAGACAGAACAAAGAGATAGCCCGTGAGAGACCTTCAATAGTCAATCGCTTAGAGAAATATTGAATAGCTGTTGGTACACGCATAAATAAGCTCTTATCGTAACGCTAATCTCCTGGCAATTATGAAGCAAATGCACCCTAAATTGGCAAAATGGAAATATTGTCAAGTTTAAAATTTTTGATTTGAACGGTTGGAAAAAAAACACATTTGTGCCAGCTTAATTCTAATTTTCAAAATGTCATTCGATTTAAAATGTTTATTGTTAACTAACAATAGACTAAATGGAGGCATGAAAGTGTTTACTTGGACACATTATGTGGAATTTAAGGCAGTGAACACGAGTATAGGAAGTAATAAAGTAAGCGTAATTGTGGCACTGTTCCAATTTAACTCGTAGGTCTCAAAATGGAGTATCAAAAGCAAAAAAAGGGGTATTTGACTGCCATGGAGTAAATAAAATGGGTACCACACTAGAACGCAAATGGCAAAAAGTTTGAGTCCCATTTAATGAAAGTGAATGAGTATAGCAACCAATGGGATGGTTGGTGTTTAGGTAAGTTAAACCATCCCTTCCTTAGACGAGAGTCCAAGTTCAGTGCAATTATTTGAAGACAAGCCACACAGGGTTTTCCACATTTTTCAAAAGAAATAAGTTTTCGTATTTTACTTTCCTCTCTATATGGTAATTGTGACACTTAAATTTGTACACTTTTATGCTGAAATTTGCTTAATATAATATTGACTTCCAATGTCAGACAAATTAAACTATGGGAATCTAAAAATGCGGACAAATACATACCTTTATAAAAATAGATATCAGTGAGGGGGGGGGGTTTCGGTAAAGAGGCACTGATGACAGCTTGAACACCCCAAAACCGATTGTTTATTGATTGACCAATAAGTAAGGCAATCCAATTTCACTTTCATTTATTTAAAAAATTTACTGAAATTTTCAATCGGTTTACGGAGCTTTGAGCAACATTTAGCCAATCACGAATTATCGCTTGCATCGGGAATTCTCTCAACATATAGCAGTAAGTATTTGGAAAATGTACCAACGGCTCTTTGGCATATTGGACATCAACCTCAATTAATACTAACCCCTAATCGGCATTTTAACCAGTCTTTGATCTTGGATCCAATAGCTATCCTCAATCTAAACTGACTCCCTTCTACTAATTTGTTTAGAACATATTCACCAAGTGCGTCTTCGTTTTGAATTTAACTCGACAGACAAATTCAGTTAATTTTTTATAATTTTAGCTAAAACAAACTTGGCGATTTAGTGATTCAGAGGGTAACGAGGCGGGAGAGGTTGGTATCCCAGACTCCACTTTTAAGAGCTTAGTACATTAGACATCCAAATTAGTAGCACTGAACGCGCATCGTAAACATCCACAAGTCTCCAGCATTAAAAAAGCTGGTGAATTTTGCTAATATGAGCTTATTTACAAGTATTTTGCAAAATGTGTAAGAATTTCCCATATCTCAAAGAAAGTGAGGGCTAAAAAGTAGTAAATTTGTGGGAAGTCAACTTTTTTTTTAAGTTGGCACATTTTACGGCTAAATGATTTTCAGCATGAGCGAAGGTGGAGCGAATTAGAACGAAAGAAACGGAAGTCATAAAAAATTACCCCCACAGCATTTATTTGCAGCTCAAAATTTACGTTGGTAAACTAAAGTACAATTAATAAAATTGGATTTTGAGTGCCCATTTTACTTACTGTGTAAACTCCATTGCTCAAAATTAGTTGCAAGCACAACATTCTCTTTCTATCATGTTTCTCACCTACGCTACTTGATGCGATGAATGGCCTATCGATTTTATTAATTAAAACGCCTCGTTTGGCAGTACTATGGATGAATTGTCGCCTTGACTCAAAAGAGGTTTTCAATATTCTCTCTCCCTCCCCCCCCCCCGCCTTGTGCTCCTGTTGTGAGTAAGATTGCAGTCCACGAATTGCAAGGAGTGTGCTGCTCTCTGTCACTGATAGAAATATTCTGTCATCGAGTTAGCTTCATTCCGTTCTCGTGGTGGATGAGATTGTGTAATTGGCAAGAGCACCCACTCGATTAGATTAATTCATGTTAGGTATAATATTTTGCTAATTTAAGCCAAAATTCAAACCACTATGCACAATTGTGTAAGCGATGGAAATTGGCGTCTGAAATGCATTGGAGCTCCTGCCAAAACTAGTTCAGTCGCTTGATTAAAAAGGGGAGATAATTTCTGAGCGAGGACAAAGGGAGGCTCTTGGGAATCGGGCCGATTGAAGTGTTTCGCCCGCTCAAGATTGTAAGTTATTCAAATGTCAGGAATATTTAACAACGTGTCAACAACGGCGATTGGTGCATTACGGAAGCACAAATCAAGACCCCGCTATATTTAAACCAGATTTCAAATAAAATCGATTGCTGTGGTTGTGTACTCAGCATGATTTTTGCGTAAATATTTTGTTAATTAAGGAATCA